TCGCTCCCGCTTCCCGACCAAGCCTGTTATGTGCTATTGTTTAGCACCAATTCACTCTATCACCTTTCTCTTTGTTCTATATCGCTCTCCCTCATTTCAAGACTGCACTCTTCTTGATGTTATTTCTGATTATATTGACCAAGCCCTCATTCTTTATCAATGAGCCAATATTGTTGTTGACGGTGACTTTAATGTTCATCACACTGAAAAGGCTTGGCTCTAGTGTCAGTGACTTTGCAGGCATTAAAGCTCACAACTTTTGCCTTTCTCAATCCCTAACTCAAATAGTCAACTTTCCAACTCGCTTTCCAGACAACCCGAATCATTTACCTTCTCTACTTGACTTATGTCTTTTTTCTAATCCTAGTCAGTGCTCAGTTTCTCCACACTCACCCTTAGGTGCTTCTGATCATGGTTTGGTCTCTATAAAACTATTATCTCATATTTCTTTATCATCAGAATCTATCATCGTACATCTTACAACTACCTTAAGACTGACTAGGACTCTTTCCGTGATTTTCTTCGTGATGGCCCCTGGGTAGAAATCTTTCGTCTTCCTATTGACAAATGTGCTTCTTACATAACTTTGTGGATCCAGGCTGGCATGGAATCCTTTATTCCCTCTAGACGGTTCCAGGTCAAGCCTCACTCTTCTCCATGGTTTTCCTTACCTTGTGTTGCTGCAATTGCCAATCGAAACCATTACTTCCATATCTATCAGCAAAACAATTCTCCAGAAAACAGACGTCTGTTTAATACTGCTAGAAACCATTGTCAAAAGGTTTTGTCTAACGCCAAAGCCCACTATTCTCAGATCATGAAATCTCGTATTTTATCACAAAAATTAGGCTTTCGTGACTTTTGGAGAATCTTTAATAGTATCAATAATAAGGGCAAGTCTGTAATTCCACCTCTTTTGTACAGTTCAGACTTTGTCACCTCACCTAAAGACAAAGCTGAATTGTTTTTCAAGAACTTTTCATCACTATCATTTCTTGATGCCACTAGTTGCGTTCTACCTGATATAGCAGTCAAACAGGTTGATCCATTGCTCGACATTCATATCACTCCAGCTTCTGTATTTAAAGTGATTTCCCGCTTAGACTCTTCTACAGCTTGCCGCCCGGACAACATACCTGTTATAGTCTTGCAAAAGTGTTTTCCGGAGCTGTCGTCTATCCTTTCAAAACCATTTAACAAGTGCTTATCAGAGTCTTGTTTTCCAGCCTGCTGAAAAGCAGCATCTGTTATCCCTATTTTTAAAAATTCTGGAGAGCGATCCGATTCAACTAACTACCGTCCCATTAGTCTTCTTCCTATAATAAGCAAGGTTTTTGATTCTTTAATTAACAAACACTTAATCTCTCATCTCGAATCTCATAACCTACTTTCTGATCATCAATATGGATTTCGATCTTCTCGTTCTATGGCTGATTTGCTAACAGTAATAACCGATAGGTTTTATCACACATTAGATAAAGGTGGAGAGGTTAAGGCCATTGCTCTTGACATTTCTAAAGCGTTTGATAAAGTATGGCATGCTGGTCTTCTACATAGCTTTCTTCTTACGGTGTATCTGGAAACATCTTTAAGATTATTGAATCCTTCCTTTCCAATCTTAGTATAAAAGTTGCCTTGATGGACAGCACTCTTCTTCTTATTCTATAACCTCAGGGGTTCCTCAAGGTTCAATCCTTGGCCCTATACTCTTTATAATTTACATTAATGATCTTCCAAATATTCTCACATCTAAGGTGGCATTGTTCGCTGATGATACTACCATTTATTCTTGTCATGATAAGAAGCCAACTCCCTCTGATTGCTTGCAGGGGGCATCTGAGATTGAAAAGGATTTCACATCTGCTACAGCGTGGGGCTCACAGTGGCTGGTGAACTTTAATTCAGATAAAACTCAATTTTTTTCGGCCAATCGTTATCGCAATAGATTAGACCTTCCGATATTTATGAACAGTAATGTACTCAATGAGTCTCCTACCCTTCATATTCTAGGATTAACTCTTACTTCTGATCTTTCTTGGAGACCTTATATCAAATCTGTTGCAAAATTAACATCTGCTAAAGTCGCTTCTTTTTATCGAGCTCGTCACTTTCTTACTCTGGATTCTATTCTCTATCTCTATAAATCTCAAATCCGGCCTTGTATGGAATACTGTTGCCATATCTGGAGCGGATCTTCTAATGATGCCCTTTCTCTTTGAGACAAGGTGTAAAAACGCATTGTAAACATAGTTAGACCTGCTCTTGCAGCCAACCTTCAACCTTTGTCACATCGTCGTAATGTTGCTTCTTTTTCTCTTTTCTACAAATACTATAATGGGTACTGCTCTAAAGAGCTATCGTCTCTTGTGCCATCTACTAAAATTCATTCTCATGTTACTCGTCATTCAATTAAGTCCTTTTTCTGTTACTTTTCCTAAGTCTTCCAAAAACTCTTATTTGTCTAGTTTTTTTCCTTGAACATCAGTTCTTTGGAATTCGCTTCCTTCATCTTGCTTTCCTGATTCAAATAATTTGCAATCTTTTAAGTCGTCTGTCAATCGTTATCTTGCTCTACAACCTTCATTTTTTCTCTTCCAGTAACTTTCAACACTAATAAATGGATGCATGCAGCCTTGTTGGAAGCGAAGATGTTAAAAAAGAAAAAGAAAAAAAAGTAAATCAGAAGAAAACAAACTAATGCTTCTCAATAAACTGATTCTATTAATAATGTTAGATCTCCTTTAAAATTCATTGAAAAAAAAATAAAAGCAAATTTTTTTTTTTGAAAAACATCAACTGTATGTTAAACTTGAATCTGTTTTATTTGGGCAAAAATTTGAGTGCAATAGCTGTAAAATAGATTGGTGTATGATTCTTTTCATTATGCTTTTATTGAAGCACTCTTGCAGTCATTATTGTTAGATAATGATTTTTGTTCACTCCTTTGTAAGGTTAATAGACAAAATTCTGATTTGGCTGAGTTTTATTATGGAAACTTGTATGATTTAGATTTGTTATCTGTATGATGCATCTCATTCATTACTTTTAGATAAGAATAAAAAATCAGTTATGGTTGAGTTATTTTATGATGGCATGGGAATAACAAATCTAATGCAAAAAAACTTACCAAATGATTTAAATTTATGCTTTGGTAATGTTTATTTGTTGGCTTTGTGCTACTCTGAAGATTTTAAATATTATGGATTTGATTTGATTTTAAATAAATTTAAAACTGAGATAACAAAACTTCAAAACTTTGGTTTGGTCAAATGGATAATTTGAAACCAAAGTTTTTTCTTATTGGTATATACATATATATATATATATATATATATATATATATATATATATATATATATATATATATATATATATATATATATATATATATATATATATATATATATATATATATATATATATATATATATATATATGAGTCAAGTTAAGAATAGGCTTTTTAAAGCATTTTAAGATTCGTTCAAGACATTGAACGAATCTTAAAATGCTTTAAAAAGCCTATTCTTTGTTACAAAAGAAAAAAAAGACCAAGCAGAACTCCTGAACAGAGGCTTTGGGGTCACCGAAAATGTGGTTGACTTTATTCAAAATATCGCAACCATGACTTTATTATTGATGATGAGTCATACTTTACTATGTCGAATAGCACTGGCTGGTAATAGGCTGGTAACACTGGCTGGTAATAATACATACTATTCAAATGATCAAAAATTGACACAAGACATTGCTGAGTATTATGATGTTGCAAAATTTGAAAAAAAATTATTTGTATGGATAGCAATCTCCCCTCAAGGGGTCACATCTATTTACATTGTTACTTCTAGCCAAGCGGTAAACTAAGAGATCTATTTAAAAGAGTGTTTACAAAAGCACTTGCAACCCTTTATTAATAAATATTATTATAAGACACAAATATATATTTTGGCCCAATTTAGCAACATCTCACTATGCTAACTCGGTAACAAAATGGTTAAAAACCCAGAAGATACCATTTGTTCAAAAAAAAGACAATCCAGCAAACTTACCAGAAGCTTGTGCTATAGAGGATTTTTGGGCAATGCTTAAGCAGGGTGTGTACAAAAATGGATGGTCTACAAATAATATATCAAACCTTGAGCGTTATATTGGTTATGTGCCAGTAGACTTGACTTAAATGCTGTACAAAAGCTGGTACAAGGTACCAATACCAGACTTGATCAAATTCAAAGAAATGAAGTCTTGTGATAAATTTATTTTTATTTTCCTATTCTCCATATTTAATTCTAAGAACATACCAAAAAAAAAATGTTATCGTGTTTAAGTTTTTATTCAAGTTTAAAGCCAGTCTCAAATTTTATGACACATGTATTAGTTATCCACCATATAATGATTTTTTTTTTTTTAATATTCAGGGTGTATACAATAAAAATTCGCAATGAATAGAACATAAATATATTTTAAATAACTATTCTTTTTTTAACATTACTTTTCATATATCCATATTATCCCACTGGTGGGTTATATTTAGGTGTAAGTATAGATTGGTAAGTATAGACTGGTGAGTTATATTTAGGTATAAGTATACACTGGAGGGTTATATTTAGGTGTAAGTATAGATTGGTAAGTATAGACTGGTGGGTTATATATAGGTGTAAGTATAGACTTAATCACTCTATGTAGTTTTTTCACAACTTTTTCATTAACTAGTTTTCAGCTAGACTAGTTCTTCATGCTTTGCTGCATATTGTAAACAACAACATTAAAATCATATTGTTTTATTAACAAACAATTTTATATTAGGTATTTAGGTATTTAGTTTTTCTGCACAGTTTATTTTGTCACAAACAAAAAATGTTTAACTGCTTTGTAATTGCAAAGTTATGAGTGCTTTGAAAAAGTTCATGTTGTAGAGTTCTTAAGTTAATTCTCCATCACAGTTTTTTTAAATAATTTTTTTAAAATAAAACAATCAAATTGCAACAAAAACAAAAGTAACATACTTTTTACAATTGGAACACCATTGCGATCTGTAACAAAGAAAGCTAATCCACCATCAATACTAAAGTAGAAAAAGTTAAATATTAAATTACTTAATTTAAATGAGTTCATAAAATATTAATTAGTTTAAATGAATTTCAGTCAAAAATTTCTCACTTCAAAACTCATTTTAAAACTTTGCGTTTGGGATTTTAAAAAATCTTCAGACTTTCATTCTTTGATTACTATTAAAAATACAGAACTTAAAAATGTAGAGCTTAAATTAAATGAGTTATATTTTTTGTTAAGTAAACTTTTCTAATACTCCAGAGGGATTGCTAAAAAAGTTTAATGGGCTACTTAGTTTTTTTTTTTTTAGTTTTTTATTTTTTTGCAACCTGAATCCAAACTTTAAAACATGAACTTTGTTAAACAAGATTCACGAAAAAGTGTGTGAAGAAAAGTTGAGTACTTCTGGATACTACTTCTGTAAAGAGAATTTAAACCTCAAAGCACTTGATTATGAGACTTTAAAGCTATTTGTTATGAGCCAAATATTTTATTACTAGTCTACTATTACACTGCAAATAACAAAAAGTTATTATTATTATGCACTGTTAAATAATGGAGAAATATAATGAAGAATATTGCACACAAAATATTTATTTGTTTATGATAAATTTTATATTGATTTTAAATCAAAATACAACAACTAAAAACATCTTTTTAAAATAAAGACATTTAAAACATTAAAAGTGTACCAATAATGTATTTTAAATGAAACTTCATTCATTATTAATCATGTCATCAATTATGTCCCTTCCTGCAGTGATGGAAGTGATGCCACTACAAAACTGCATTGTAAACTATGTCACTATTTTATTTTTATTAAATAATTATTTATTTAAAATTGAATAGCATATAAAAGAGTTTGACAATTTTTTCTTTATAATGCATCTGGAGTATTATTCTCTTGAGTTGAAAATGATAAGTGGTAGATGTACCATCAATGTTACTTACGACAGTATAGGTTTTCAATACCATCTCGAAGTATACGTAAATATTTCTGAACAAGGATTTTTTGATACAATGTAATGATAGCAATACTGGTTTTATATAATAATCTGTCAGGGTTTCTATTTGTTGTTTGAGATAATATGAAATTATTGCATGTGTTGGGTTAGGATTTTTTAAAGCAATTTTATATTTTTTATATCAATAAGTTCTTCGATATTGTGACAAATATTGAATTGGTATGAGTTTATTGTATTGATCTCAATAATTTTGAGTGATTGTTTGTGGAACAGTTGAAGCTTTTAGGCAATACTGCAAGGCAAGAGTATATGGGTGCTGTACAGAATGTAAGATGGATCTATAAAATTGAGCGCATTTTATAAATGAACTAAAAACGAAGTTAGCTACAATCAAAGAAACTATTTTATTATAAAAATTGGAACCTACTATTTATAAATAAAAACTGAAACCTACTATTTATGATCAAAAGAAAGAAAAAAAAACCTCTAGCAGCAGAAGACATTAAAACATTTTATTAGGAGGCCATATTATAAGCTAAGTCATTGTTTAACATTTAAACTCTAATCACAACTCCAACACATGCATGGAATATTTTTTTACAAAAACAAGCCTGGAAAACATAGGACAAAAATTTTATTTAGCTATTATCAAATTAACCCAGAATCTATTGACCCCACAAGCTTGAAATAAACAATCGAAGAGCTAAATGTAAAAGACATTTTTTTTAAAATTGGTTTTTAAATAACTCAACTTAATTAACAAGCTAACATTGATAAAATGAAAGACAGTGAATTTATTCTGTGTAGATATTATGTTTCATTGGATTGGTGTGATTTAAAAAATTTACAATACCAAGGAAGATGTTATGAATCCGCATGATTTTTTTTTGTTTACTTTTCTGATCATCTAGAGCAGATGAGTTTCCGATTACCAGCATAATTTGTACCTAATTATTTAAATACAATTTTTTTCAATTCATGAACATTTAAATTAATAAAGTACCATGTGGAAAAAAAAAAAAAATTAAGTTAATGACTGTAGTTTATAAGTAATTTGCATATGAATTTATGAAAAATTTTTGAAAATAGAACGTGATACAACTGTTTTTTATATCAATGGTGTAAAAAACAACAAAATCTGAGACATGATGAGATTAAAATTTTTTTTTTTGATCATTTGACAATTATTTTCCTATGTTCACTTCATACTTTTATGTTAAAAAAATATTGAATCAAACGCAAGGAATACACTTTCTTTTTATACCATTTCACTAAGTACATATTAAAATAAATAAGAAAAATGTTACAACATAACCACACAAAAATTTGAAAAACTCAAAAAGGCATGTCTAAAATCATGAAAATTCACCTTACTCAAACATTAATATTGCTTTTGGGTAAATGTTTTTGCTTTCACATGCTTGTTTTTTTTTTTTTTTTTTTTTTGCATTATAACTTGTTTTTTTTTCATCAAGAATAAAAATAGGTGTAATGTATGCTATCCTGTATAATATATGATGTATCCTATATAATATATAATATAGGTGTAATGCATGGGTCAAAATAAGTGCCGGACATCGCCGCCCCTCAGACCATTTTTGAGACCTGCTATATGAGGGCAACCAACCATTATTCATTTTTACTGTAAAAATGAACAATGGTTTGTTGCCCTCATCTAGCAGGTCTCAAAAATGGTCTGAGGGGCGGCGATGTCCGGCACTTATTTCGACCCCTGGTGTAATGTATAATATGTATTTTTTAATTTTAACTAAAAACATCATCATTTGAAATGATGATTCAGAATTTTAGTTGTAACCTGATAACATGACATTTTGACAACATTTTTTTTTTTTATGTTGATTTTAGGTGCCCCAAGAAGTCCTTACGGTCTTATCACAGAGCACCGCGGAAGAGCATTTAATAGGAAGTTCATGCCTCCTTCCCAACCGATGTCGCAAAACTTGCCCAGAGGCGGGGTTTGAACCACGGATCTTACATTTCTGAGGCAAGTGTGCTACCACTGCGCTACGGCTGCTTGTAACATGACTACATAATAATTGTTCAGAGGATTAGAACCCTAACAGGTTTGAGAAATTTAAAAACAGCTTGAAAATTGTCTCAAGAGCTGCCTAGATATTTTATTGTCAATTTGTAAATATTGACTAAATTTAATTTTTGAATTAAAAATGGAGACTGTCACCTACACAAAATGGAGACTGTCACCTGATTAAAATGGAGACTATCAGCTGATTAAAATGGAGACTGTCGCCTGATTAAATAGAGAGTGTCACATGATCAAAAACCCTTTAAAATCCCAAGAAAGTTTCTTTTTATATCATTACTTTATCTTAGGTCTGCTTAAAAAAAACTTTATGATTTGTTGCTCTATTACTTGATTATTCCGAAATAAATTTTTTGAAAAATTTTATAACAATTACTGGTCTTGAGATAAAGCTTTGGGTGTAGCATTTTAAGTATGTAAATAGTCATTACATTATGCAACGCTATTTATGTAACCATGAAACCATTTTTGTTTAGTAATATTTAAATAATTCTATAATATTTTCAAACAGTATTTTAATGAAGTATATACCATTTTAAAAACGAACACCATGGCGACCGTATTTAAATTACAAATACATAAAAATATGCTCATTTTTTATAAACACAATAACATTCAAATAAAATAAAAAAAATTAAAGTTTGAATTTTTATAAAACTAATTTTTTTTTACCATAATATTAAAACAATCAAAACGATTAGCAACAAAAGAAAAACTTGTCTATTGTTATAATGCAGCGAGAATGATGGAAATGTAAAGAAATATTGAAAAATTTAATCTAAGCAAAAAAATCTACCAAGCATTTGAACAATTATTAAGATAATATTAATTTTATAAGCTACGTTTGTTTATTATTAGTTAGTATTAAAATAATACTAACTTAGTATATAAAATACAGCAACAACAGGCTGCTTAGCATCAACAATAAAACATTTTAAAAAATTTTACTTTAACTAACTTAGCTTAAATCTTAAAAAATTTTTAATGATTGACTTTATATCTTGATAGAGATTCAAAATGCATGTACGCATTTTGAATGTTAAGTCAAGATATAAAAGTAAGCCACAAAATACATTTTTCATATATAATTATGTAATAATTTGGTTATTTTTTCTTACAAAATTTAAAGATTTTAGTTTACTACTGATTTTTAAAAATAAAAAACAATTATTTTTTGGAAAACTTTTAATATGTATTTAAGAAATAAAACAAAACCTTTTTTATTCATTTATTTATAGACAAAATATGATTGTGTCTAATCTTAAGAAAATAAATAAATATTTTTATATTTTGAAAAACCGGAATCTCAAAACATTTGATAACATTATCAAACAATAACATTTCTACATTTTTTTATGTTCATTATTCAATTAAACTAGTTTTGTGGTATATTAGAAAATTGCAACATTAGTTTAAAAAAGTCAATGTTGATAAATATAAAAAGCAAATAAAAAGAATTTAAACATTTTATATTCATCACAAGATTTGCAATAATGCTTTTTTTTTAAAATATTTATTTCAATGAATAAAATTAAGTATAAAATAAAAAAGTATAAAATTAAGAGGCGACTTGAAGGCATATAAAATCATATGCCAGAGAGAGAAAAGTGGGATCTCTTCCACATCCGCTCTGGCTTTTTTTAAAATAAACATGAATTGATAAAAGCAATAAAAAAAATTTCCTAAAGTTTTTAAAATATATATTTTTTTATTTCAAACTTAGTAACTAGCTTTGTTACAGTTAAATTTATATTTATTATTATTATTATTATTATTGTTAAACTATTTAATGGGAGATTCCCTGTGAAATCATCCAGGGCATGTAACCTTTAGTCTCAGACTTTGCGGATTTTTAAACTAAAATATTATCATCTAATTCCATAGGGTTTCAAAGATATAACTATTTAAACATTGCCAAAAACCAACAAAAATCTGCCATTTAAAAAAAAAATTTCTTTGAAAAAAATGGTCTTTGTCTCTGTTCTG